TTATTTCTCAAACTATTAATGTTAGGCATAGGACATATGGAATATAAAAGATGTAAAATGAGACGCCGAAGACGACTAAGTAATAAAATATGGGGGGTGCCATTTAAAAAAATGAAGTTATGGTGCTTCCAAATTTCGAAAAGTTAACGTATCATAGTAAAGTGACCAAACGATCTAGACAGCCGTTCTCGGCACCAAAACATACTCCATCATGTTGTTTAAGCATGTTCTGAATCTTAAATTGATATCTCAAAAATCGAGTGTTCTATGATTTTTTGAACAACTGTCCATTGGAGCAGATTTTTCTAGAAAAAATCGAATAACTCGAGAACGGCCGAATCAAATTGCAAAAAGTAAAGTTATTTATAAACCTTCAAAATAGACAAATCAGAATGTGTAAAAATATACAGGGTGTTCCATTTAAAAAAATAAAGTAGGTGGCGACTTCCGGTATAACCGGAAGTGCTAGAAATCTGAAAATATTTTAGATGAAGAGAACGTAATTGATAATACTTAAATCTGCATTCTCAAATTTTTTGTTTGGCCAGAACCCCAGAAACGTCTAATGACCGGTCTCGCTGAGACACCCTGTATATATATATTATGCTTAAAAATTAATTAATGCTTAAATATTTCGCTTTTCTTTATTAAAGCTTCTTCAGGGTTTGAATTTCTACAATCAAACTATGAAAAACAACAAAATAGCTTTAAAGTTACTAAAAACTTACAAATTGAACTTGAAAATATAAATAAACAATTTGTAGCTTCGGTGTTGACCGGTTTAATAGGCAAATGCATGGTTAATCACATCGAAACTTTAATGTGATTTTTCAGTATATTCTACACTTTTCCGCACTTTCTTTTTATTTTTAAACCACATGATGATTCTTGAATTTTTCCATCAATTTTTAAAGCTAAACTTAAAAAAGTAACAAATTCTTCAAACCAAGAATTGGCAATCATTATTTCTTACCTTACACTTAATTAAACAATTTGTTAAAATAAACAATGCAACAACTTGTTTATAATATAATCTTTCTGTTAGCCATTTTCTTTAGCTAATTTAAAATGTGTTAATTTAATTTAACGTGTACATTTAAACGATAAGATAACATAGTTTGTTTTTATTCGCAGGTCCGAGAACAATTAGATCGTAATTTAAATACGAAGGCAAGCGGTTGGAATTGAGATAACCATTTTCTTGAGTAAGCACTTATTAGTTAGTAGCTACGAATAGTGCAAGTTGGGAAATGTGAATTTCTTCTGGAAAAACATCCGATTATATAATGGACGAGAACGCGCCTGGTTCCGGAGAACTTCAACATCACGATATCGGGCAGATGTCCTACGAAGAGCTGAAAAATCTTATGTTGAAGAATAATATTGAGATACACGATGACGATGACGACGACGTACGACAGAACTATACTCTTAGTGAAATTACAGAATTTTGTAACAGTTTTTACGAGAATGAAACTTCTGTGTTACGCGAAAAATATCCAGGTGGATTTTGTGAGAGTGTATATGACACTATTTCCTGTTGGCCACCAACCCCTTATAATAGTACAGCGGTTATTAGATGTTTTAAGGAATTTAATAATATTAGATATGATGATAAAGGTAAGTTTTAAAAGTTGCCGATCAAAAATAAAAATGAACTACATACTTTCATTGTGTTTAAGATAACGTTGATAAATATTGTTTAACATGCGGCCTTTGTTTAATGGTACAATACAATTGTAGAATAATTAAAATTTGTTTCCAATTTGTTATATTTAAAAAATATTTTGACGCTTTAATTAATTAACTCGACTTCTACACAGATGGTAAATAAGAGTCTTTATTTACAATTCTAAACCCAAACTAAAATTCGCCCAGAAAAATTTTCATTAAATTCTGGGTAAGCTAAAAGCTAATAAGGAGATTCAGCCAAAAGAAGTTCTTTTATTCTTTATATCTTTCCATTAAAAAAAGGAACGAATCTTTTCTTCTGAAGCTTTGTAAATTTTTTTTAAACCAAAAACCTCTCTGTTATAAATATTAATGTTGTATCCACGCATATTTTCCTAGGGATTCGTACTTAAAAGGATGTGTTTTTGCTGACGAACGGTGAACCGGACGTCAACTCATGAATATTTATACAGTGGCAATGATACTGGTGTTAAAGCGATTAAGCGAAAAATGGAAGCAACAACCATAATAATTTTCTTTAATTTTTTTTTGTATATTTCATGCAGTTTTTCAAAGTGAATATTGAATAGTTTGGGCGAGATTTTTATTCTATTACAAACCTATCGACGTATTTTTTTCGAGTCACTGTGATGTAAATTGAAACGGTAACACACATCTTTTTTTACGGTGTACAAAAAACAACATATTACACCACATACACGAAAGTTGTTTTCGCGTTGTTTTATTTTTCATGCGAAATTTATGATGGAAATATGTTTAAAATCCTATTTTATCCGAAGATTATACTAATACTAAATTCCATTCATTTGAAATGCTAACAGACCACATTTTATGCATACATTTACATAAAAATAAACAACAGGTTTAATAAAATATTTGTTATAAAATGTTTATTATAAATTTAATTATTTGGTAATTCTTTTGAACTACATTCTACCTCAATTTGTGTCGAATACTGTGGCTTGATATGAAATTTTCAATTACGTACACCACTGGGCTTTGATGTCGGCTTCAAAGGCAAACGTTAAGCTTCCCAGATGACATTAAAACGTAGATAACGCACTAGTAGACCATACAAGTATTTCTGAAACAAAGAAGCGAATCAAGCGTGGAAACAAATCTTCATCGACAATTCAAAATGAATAAATCATATGTAGATAACCTTACAGTTCGTAATACGTTTGTGTTAAACATACGTATTGAATATCCCTAACCGCGCATTAATCAAATTATACCTAATGGGTGCAAACTAGTTCGTTAAACCGATAGGTTATGTCCTACAGTTTATGGGCGAATAGATGTAATAATTTACCGTGGGTATAAATTGACATGAAATTCTATTACATGATGGAGATTGGTATTTAGAGGAATACAACTTTACTAACATTTACTATAACAATATCAATTTGATGACTTTAATTATAAAAAACTATACAGACATGCTGTACCTACAGTTATGGCAATTGTACTTCAAAGCCTAGACTATTTAAATTTTACTATTAAATTAGAAAGTGTAAAAGCAACGATCTCCTCTTTTTCTCGTTAATTGACCAGTTGCTTCAACGTTTCTGTAAGAGATTTTGTGTCTTCTTGTATGTAGTGATTTGTGGTTGCAATTATATGTCAAGTGCCAAATCATCAAAATTAGCGTCATCATTACCCAGACGTTTGTCGAAAAAGACGAGACAGACTAAGAAAATTGTTCGAAGAGAAGAGAAAGCTGTGTTTGGCTGCGAAATAAAACTTGGTGAAATCAGTTAATAAATTAAAAAGAAAGAGATACATGATACAATCTTCTACTATTATAAAACTACAGCTCTGAAATCTCATAATAGATCTTGAGTTCGCGCCACTTCTTCTGATTGTCCCTTATTTTGTGAACTTCATAAAGTTTTTGCTCGACTTGTTATTTGGGTCTGTTATTAATATACTAGAATATATTTTGTTTCTTCTGATTTCAATACTTTTGATGGACGATATGATACACTACTGTCTCGGTATGGATCTTGTTATGATTCCGAAAATGGGTGTTCGAGTATTGCATTTTCAGTATCAGAAACCACGTCCATGGGACTCACTAAAAAATGTGACTAGTAAAGATCAACCAGCATCCACACTCTTCAACATATCAGTCGAATATGTTACGAGAAGAACAGGAGTCGATATAAACACCACACTATGAAAAGATTTATTCATTAATAGGTATATTATTTTTGGTTATTTTCTATTTACAACATATACATCATTATAGGATTTAATAAAGTTCCTGTTAATAAACAGATACACAGGAAAAAATCGTGTCGTGTAAAAATTTTAGAGTAGTTGGTGAAACGAGTTGGAGTAAAAATTGTAATATCACATGGTAAAAATAACTCTAATGTACACTATATTTAATATTAATATAGAGTTCATATATTATTCACTTAATAGAGTAGTTTTTACAGTCCTCTAAAGGAGAGTTCTTTTTTACTTATGTTAGTGAAGTTATGTAATATTTAACCATTAATTTTACACTAGACGTGTACTTTTCCTTCGGGTACTTCGTAGGCACCGCACTATTTTGCTCGGGATTACTCGTCGGTACCACGTGATCAACATGTGGTGTGATACAGCTAAAATTTAACGGTCATCTACTAAACGAGTCGGAACTCGATAGCGTCTCGAGTCCTGATTTACGCGGTATAGAAAGAAAGAACGATTATTTTTATTGTAATTATGTTTGCCAAAATAAAACATTCATGATGTGAAATTAGTGGAACTACCGGAAGATTTTACATACGAGTTCCTTGTGAAGATTGGTAAGTATGTGCAACTTGGTGTAACTATATACAGTGTGTCCCAGGATAGATGTTACAAGAGGTATAATGACTTAAAAAATGTTGAATTTTATTTTAAGTCTGAGGAATTAAGCCCTGCTTGGTGTGGAGAGAATTTTAAGTATATTTTCATATTTTGAAAAGCAACTCGGTCTTGATAGTGAAGCGAAAACTATTTTTGTTCAGGTAAAGTAAGCTTTTTGNAAAGGCTTGTAACTCTTTAACCAAAATGAATCGGACCCATATTCATATAACATTTTTTCCTTAAAATCGCATCACCTTTCATCTGCCAAAGTTTGTCATAGTGCTAATGAATCACCCTGTATACATCATTATAGGATTTAATAAAGTTCCTGTTAATAAACAGATACGGTAAGATTTCCTCAATTAACAATCAAATGAAATTGTACACACTTTAGTTCTGCATATGGAGTTCATTAACATTAATAAAATCGATAATTGTTTATTTATATTCACAGATGTACATAGATTATCGGGTACGGATACCAGTACTAGATTGAAAACGAGCCTGTTTTGGACAATCACATTATGAGAATGGAAATCTCGTTAGACCAAACAAGGTACCGACTCTCAAGTTACACATTGCGTGGTTTGACTAAACTTTGTATGGTATAGTACGTGAGCGATGAAAACGTCCAGCGGAAGCAGTTTCGGGATGTCGACTACGGCCCGAGGATAATAACTCCCGTAATTAATTAACTACTGGGATGCTGTAACTAGCGCTTAACTAACGCCACGTTTGCCGTCAGGTTTATTGCACCCAATGCTTTCTGTTCTCTCGAGCATTTTCTCTCGTTTACTACACCCAGAAATATTACCCCTTGATTATGGATCCCACCTGTTGCGCACCTCTCTCGTTTTAAGAGGAGACTAATTTTAAGAATTTCAACAGCGAAATAAATGAAAATGGATGAAATTATCGAGTTGGGGAAGGAATTTTCAATACGCCGCCGCCGCGCCGTGTGGTTTAATGGTTTTAATGTTACAATTCCATTTAGAAATATGAATTTTATTGCAACAGACGCAACGTTTTATTATGGAAGATTTTAATCTAGGGTACTGTCATGGTTACTGCTAGTGCCGTCCAGGTTCCTATTCAATTAGACCTCGGCCAATTAAGTTTAGACCCGGCGACGATGAATGCGCTGGCGGCGCTGTCCGCGCTAATTACGAATAATCACAATGCGGCCCCAAGAGCACCCACTAACAATACCGTCCACTAAACGCACTTCCACGGGACAACGTCAAGAATGTAATCCAATTTATTTGTTAGATGTTGATGAAAACTGAAGATTAAAAACATTAAATAAATGATTTACGAAACTAAATTTGATGGATAAGATGAAATCAGTACCATCTTTTATTCCAGCGAATGACTAATGGTAAGATGGGGGTGTTTAAAAAGTATAAGAAGGTTAGTTTTCTGCCATCGATACTAAATTGCACTATTTCATTCTAAATCGCGAAGTGTTTATTAAGCCTTTAAAAAGTATTGTAGGCTCCAATTGTGACAATTTACCCAAACACTTATTTTTGCACATTTTATAACAAAATTTTAAATGACACGTCATTTCTACACACTAGGACACACTTTATTGAGCGATTTTTACTATATTTCTGCTACTGCTTTTTTCCCATGTTTGTTTCGGTATTCGCCTTCTTTTACTCTTTCTACTTCATCAGTAAAATTTCTTTCTTATTGATAAATTTGTTGTTAATTGACAAGCTTCTCAGCCCGCCGAGATATGGGCAATACTAATAGCAAAAGATAAGTCGAGAATCGATTCACGAGTGCCAATAGGCTGAGGGCAATGCTGGGGATCAGTCTCAGAGATAGAGTACGCAATGAGGAGATCTGAAAGCGCACTAAGATCGCCGATGTAGTGGCAATCGTGGTGGATTGCTAGCCTGAAGTGGCGATGGGTAGGACATCTCGCAAGAGACATCGCATGATCGAAAAAATTCATCCTATGGAGGCCCCGGACAACAAGACCGCAACGGAAGTCAAGAAGATCGAGCGGAGAAATTAGCAAACAAATGGCGTCAAACAGAGAGATTTAAAAATGGAAGGGGCCTATACATAGGAGTGGA